GGTTGATCCTCTTTAGGTGGAGGTTCTTTAGGATCCTCCTTAGGTGAAGGTTCTTTAGGAGGTTGATCCTCTTTAGGTGGGGGTTCTTTAGGATCCTCCTTAGGTGAAGGTTCTTTAGGTTGATCCTCTTTAGGTGGAGGTTCTTTAGGATCCTCCTTAGGTGAAGGTTCTTTAGGAGGTTGATCCTCTTTAGGCGAAGGTTCTTTAGGAGGTTGATCCTCTTTTGGTGAAGGCTCTTTAGGAGGTTGATCCTCTTTAGGCGGAGGTTTTTCAGGAGGTTTGTCCTTAGGTGATGGGTCTTTAAGAACATCATCTTTAGGTAATTTTGGCTTTGGAATGTTCACATCAACGATAGATTCAACAACTTTTTTCTCCCCTTTTAGTACATCATCAACTTTATTTTTCTCCTCTTTTAGTACATCATTAACTTTATTTTTCTCCTCTTTTAGTACATCATTAACTTTATTTTTCTCCTCTTTTAGTACATCAACTTTAGGTGATTTCGGTGGCTTTGGAATTTTCACATCAACGTTAACTTTTTTCTCCTTAGGTAATGGTTCTTTAAGTACATCATTTGTTGACTTTGGATCTTTCACATCAACGATAGGTTTAACAACTGTTTTCTCCTCTTTTAGTACATCATCATCTTTAGAAACTTTCACATCAACAATAGGTTTAACAACTTTTTCCTCCTTTTTTAGTACATCATCATCTTTAGGAACTTTCACATCAACGATAGGTTTAACATCTTTTTCCTCCTTAGGTAATGGGTCTTTAAGTACATCAGGTAATTTTGTTGACTTTTGAACTTTCACATCGTCTGAATCAATAGGTAGTTTATCCTTCGATAAAATGTCTCGTTTACGATGGTAGGCTCTTTTAGCAATTCCAGGTGAATAAAAATGATGATTGCGTGGAATGTTTGATCTGAATCCAGAATGCATGGTTTAAATTATGTGTTAAAAACCAATAAATAGTAGTGATTAGTATTAGAATTTTCGAATCATCGATAATTTTCAATGTTAAGACGAAAGAGAGGTATGATTTTTTCAAAGACGACCTATGACCTGATCGTTAAAAAGAAACAAAATTAAAGGATAAAAATGGATATTTAAAGTGGAAAAAAAAAAAAAAATGAATGAATGAAAATTGGTGAAAATGGGAATGGTGAAAGTGATATTCAATTAAATTAAAATTATAAATTATATATAAGGATAAACATATCAGCTTGCATATATATGTTGAACGTCCACGCGGTATAGGTCAACGAAATTGGAAAAGGTTGTGCAAACTTGCACATTGTTCGTCCAATAAACCGTTCTTTGGTCAAAACTGATGACCATGTGATGCGCTTCCCTGCAGGTTTGTTTTTACCAGTGTAATATTTGAAATTTAATGTATTGCCAACATTGCAATCATTTCTGACAGTTAAAGATTTTAATTTATATAATTTATATAATATTTTAAATTCCAATTTCAAATCGAATTTCGAATCGGAAATGACGGAAAATCTTATCGGATAAAAATAACGTTTTTGTTTATATTATAATGTATTACCCTTTGTTGAAAATGATTTCAATGTTTCGAATAATTTGAACTTGTAAATGATTTTTACTTTTTTTGTCTAACTTCTAAAAGATCAACCAAAATTTCCCAGCTAAACCTAAATAACTTTTGATTTTAATTCAGAAAATTAATTCTTATTTGTTAGGTTGAAATTATATTTTTTGTCGATCATAAGGTTCCTGTTTCAAAATTAGTTGATCGTGCTGCGTTCACGAATGTTTGAGCTCTTTATTTATTTTGTCAACAGATGATAAAAAAGAATCTTACTACATTAATAATATATAATATATATATAAATAAATAAATGACGTATAAATGGTTATTTGAAACAAATTTAATTTCTTCATATTCACCAAAGGATCTCACTAAATTCACTGTTTCATTACTTTTCCTTATTCTTCTAACCCGACGCGACGTAAAAAATCAAAAATATCCTCGAAATTTTAATATATAAGATATAACGATAAACAATATACCGATCAACATATAATTATATGAACTATTGACTTTATAATTTTTCTTTACATCATTTTTCACAAAAATTTCTTTCGGTCTTTTATCCTCATCCTCGTTAATTTTATTTGAAAAATATTTTCGTCTTTCGGTTTTAGGAGTTTTCATTTCCGCTTCAATTATATCACCGGCATCCATATCTTTTATTGTTGCGGGATTCAAGTGATTATGTAGTATTATTTTATTATTATTTTTTATAAAAAATTATTAAATTATTTTTAATGTTTTTTAAACGTTTTTGATTTTTTTTTTTTGATTTTTTTTTTTTTTTTTAAAAAAAAAAAAAAATGCTCAATACATTTATATAAGTAATCCCCCTTTCATAAATGTTAAAATGTTGACTATTTTGATCACATCATTTAGAATGAAAACTAAATACATTTTTGATCATGATTGCGTAATAATGACATCGAAATCATAAATTAAATGGCGAAGTAACGTAGTTAATTTCTATAAATGGAATCAATCTGTTTCTTATTAAGGTATTCCAAAATAAGAAAGTGACTACCCGGAATAAGCCAATTTTAAAAGGAAAATGTATATATAGATCAATTTTTGGCAGATTTATTCGATTTATTCGATTCATTGGATTCACGGGATTCACGGGATTCAACATCATCCTCTCTAAAGGATTCCAATCGAATTTGCGGTGATGGCTCCAAAGGCGATCCCCTGTCTCTTTTAGAAGATCCTCGACCATGTTCTTGATTATACGACGAATTTTGCGTTGAATCATTGGTTGATCCCGTATTTCTTCTAAAGAAATAACTTCTATTTTGTTCTTGTGTGGACGTGCTGTGCGCAGATGGTATGACGTGTATATCTTCACCATCATAATTCTCAATAATATAAGAATCGCCTTCATCCCATATTGCATACCTTGAACTGAATGTTCCTGATTTGCCCTGATCATTAGCATGCTTTCGTTTAAATTTTTCCCGTATATTTTGCGGTATGTCAAGATTATGATGCCAGTCTTCTCCTTCCTCTTCTCTTTGTTTTTCTTTGCGAATGTCTTCATGTCTTGTTGATGAAATCATATCAGATTCACCTATATGTGCTTCAGCTTGTGAATCAATTTCAATTGTTGTTGTTGTTGTTGAATCATTTTCAGGTGCTTCTTCAGGTGATTGTATTTTTTCTTTATCTGCCTTTGGGCGAAAAATAAGTTCTGTTCCAATTCGTATTACTGGTAATCGTGATACTTGATTATTTAACGTTCCTGTTGTCAATGTTCGAGTGTTTATTCTAAGAAAAATAAAAAAGGTTAGGTATTTTTGATAGGATTCAAAATCAATATATAAATATTTAAAACAAAACATTACCTCTTTGATATCTTGACCAAAGCTAAAAAGAAATATATGTGTGTATTAATATATATTTTAATTTGAATTCTTCCAAATACAATCCATATGTACATTATTGCTTGTTACTTACGAATTGTAATACCGTGGACTAATATTGAGCTTATCACCGTAAAATAAACGACTAAAATAGATATGTGTTTATTAACATTCAAAAAAAAATACCCAAAACACAATTATAATGATAATTAAATACCGGGTTCAACAGTGACGTATAAAATATTTGTTTTATCCAATTCATAATGTTGCTTAATAACGGTGAGATAATATATAGCGCCTATGCCTATAGGGCCGAACCACCCCGTGAACGCGGCTAATTTTATTTTATTAAAAAAAAAATTTAATTAGTTATAATTAAATCCAAATCTCCAAATCCGTTTTTCTATTTCGAATTTAAAGTCAATGGAAAAAAAAAAATCTTAAAGCTACACGTGGACGCATAATTTGAACGGTATAGATCACGATTAGCACAAAATTATTAGCATTTAACGCGTAAAAAGCTTACCTTCACGATACGTTTTTATCGCAGGCATAAATCTCATTAATGCCATGATAATCGGAAGACGACGAAATATTAAAATCAATATGGCACAAAGGGTTAATCTCCAAACTGTAATCCCAGTATCAACATTATTGAATTCCGACCAGGGAATAGTAGCACCAACGTACATCTTATTACAAGAATAGATTAAAATTATAAATATGTTTTCACATCATTAAAAAATGCAAAGTTAAAAAAATATATATATATATATATACATACAAAAACTGCAAGATTGAGTAGCATATCGATAACTTCCTGCAAATGAGCCTCTTCAGTCTCTTTACGAAACCAATCACTTTTTCAAAAAATTATTAGGAAATGTCATTAAGGGGAATACTTATAAATAATAAAATGTAATTTTACTCACTCCCATGTAAATGCCGTTCCAGCTGTAAAGCAAGCAAGTAAATCATTACTGCCAATCATTGATACAGTTCCCATCAAAAATAACTGTTAAAAATGAAAAAGTATAATTATAAGTGAATTATTTTGATATATACGTATATGTTAATATAACTTACAGCCAATGCAATGGCAAACACGAGAAAAGATTCTTTGTCAATCAGCCGGCTATTATGAATCAATCAAGAATGTTAATAATTATATGTTTGTAAAATTAAATAAACATAATAAAGATCTAAATACAGACTGGCTTTCAGCAAGATATAATAGTTTTCTTGCAACATAACCGGCAATTATTCCTATGACACAACTTAATAAAACTTGATATAACCAAGAATATAAGAACCATAGTCCAAAAGCTTTGCCAACAGAAGATTCTTCCATAAGATAAATCGTTAGGTACAAAAATGGATATGCAAGACCATCATTTGAAGCACTATAATAAATTTAAATGTTTTGAATATTTTTAAGATTTATTAAGTTTAAACGATGAAATGTACCTACCTTTCGGCGGACAATAAATTGCGCACATGAGGAGGTACGTGCTTTTCTGCGAAGCGACCTTTGACTACCGAGTTGGCCAAAATAGGATCAGTTGGTGTTATACATGCTGCTATCGCTAAAGCCTCAAGCTTACAAAAAAAAACACAACCTTTGTGTTAGCTTAATAAACATGCTTCAAGCCTTTGTTAGCCATATTTGAATTGATTAAGATAACTTACAAAATTTATATTTGGAATCAACCACCGGATTAATAAACCACTGACAGCCCACATGTATGTCATAACTGGGAGATATAAAATAAGTAATGTTTTCCACTCTTTGACAGGGTATGCCCTATAAATTTAAATTTAAATCAGAATAATTGACCATCTTTTTTAAGATTAAGAAGATAACTTACTTTGGTAATGCAACCCCAGAAAACATTACCTATAAAAAGAAGATTTCAAATTAGATCACAAATTTAGAAAGAAGTTAGCTGTAATGATAGAATTGAGATCAATCAGACCATACTTGAACAGCAATAACAATACGTAGAAGATCATGAGTAATATCATCTTTAGGACCCCAATTCATTGGGTTAAGCAATTTTAAAACGTTAGGACCGAGTATTATTCCCATTGTCACGGAAACAACTAATAAATCAAATATAATTATCAAGCTTTTTGACGTCACACCAAAATAGACAAGATCGACCATTGATTACACTTACGAGCTTCCGATAAATACAAACGTTCTTTAATAAAAAATGACACAAGACCGTACAAAATGATAAAACCTCCAAGAATAGAAGCAACAAGAGATACTTGATCAACTTCAATTAATTGCGCCATTTATTTATGATTTAAAATTAAAGTTTTATTTTAAATTCGAAAAATGTCGTGTTTCAAGAACAAACGTTTAGAATTGTAAGAAGATATCTCTGAGAAGAAAAAAGTCAGAGAAAAGTCCAAACTATTGTCACTTGAATACATTCAAAGTTTACAGTATTATTCTTTCAGTAAAGAAAAAAAATTTTTTTTTTTATAAACAATTACAGAAAAAAAAAATTTGATTTTATATACAAATTTCTTAGTTTTTATACTGTAGTTTTTAATATAATGATTGGCGTTTTTTACAGAACCTAGTTTGGGAAATTCCAAAATTAATGAATTGAATCTTAGATTTTTTTGCAATCAGTAAACGAGATCCGTTGTGTACCCAAAAAAAATAATCGAACACAATTTGCTGAAATAAAAGAGGAAAGAATTTTCAGCCATATTTCTTTGGAAATTTCGACTGAACGATAAAAAAGTTATTATTTTACTAATGGTCATGTGGGGGTATTAATCATATGCAATTCCATATGAAGCATATGGCTGGGAATTATTTAGAAGTCGATCTATTTTTGACATTTCAATTTCGTATACAGATATCTTCAATATAATATCTTCAATAAAATAATAATACTTATTATACTATACTAAATATAGTAACATACATGACAGTGTCAAAATCATGTCATTTGCTTATCTCAAAGGGTCAAATTTCACATGTAACAATATATTAGTCGCTATAAAAGTTAAAATGAAGAATACTAAAGTTTTAATTGACACATGTGATCATATTACAACATTAAATACAAATACAACGATTCTTTTTTTTATTATAAGAATAACTCGTCTAAGAATATTTTAGAATATAAATTAAACAAAAACCTTTTCAAAATTGTTTATTTTTTTTTTTTTTCTTGGTTAAACTTGTTAAAAATATTTTTTGCTTCTTTTTTTGAATACTTTTCTTATTTTTTTTTTTTTTTACAAAATTTTTGAGTATCAGAAAAATATTTAAACTAATTATTAGAATTATTAACTTCGAATATACAAAACTTAAGTAATAACTTTTCTTTCTCTTTCTAAATAACAATATCTTTTTTTGAATATGATCTCTAATATCAAAAACTATACAGTAATTTATCTTCTGCAACTATATGATTTAAGTTTCATTCTTTATCAAAAATCAACTATAATAAATTAATAAACATTTTAATATGAAAAGTATAAATTTGAAAAATCTCTAATGGTAATTATAATTATTTTATTTGGTAATTAATACAATTTTTATTTAATGTTTTTTTTATAATATTAGCTGATATAAAAAAATATATATATAATTATTGTATTTAAATTCCTTGTTAATATTTCTATATATTAAAAATGGATTTTTTTATTTTTATTAAAAAAAATTTTAATAATTGATCAAATTTAATTGAAATAATTCAAAATTGAATAATTGAATTTAAATTAATTTGATATTATTTTATAGCTATATTATATATTTTCTAATCAATCTAAATCAATATTGATTGATTCTATTTAAACTTAAACAAAACAATTTAGTATTAATTTAGAACTTAAATTAACTATAAATCAATCTAAAATTAATCTTAATTTAACATTAATTCAAATACAAATTCAACTGTAAATCAGCATAATATTATATCAATTAAGTCAAATAAGCATTATAAAATCAATATATTTTTATTTAATTAAATTATTAAATACAGTATTAAAAAAAAATTTACTGTTTAATTTCCTATTAAAAATATAAGTAAAAAAAAGGAAAAAATGCAAAAAAATAATAAAATAATAATAATTTTTTCTTTTTAAAGTCCTCAAAATCATTTAAAATAATTAATTTTATCATTATAATTATTAAAAAATATATAAAGATAATAATAAAATAATAAAAAAAATAACCTAAATATTTATTATTATCAAAAATAAAAGATAATAAAAATAACTTTTTTTATCCAATCCTTCTAAATATTTATTATTATTTTTATCATTATAAAAATAATAAAAAATAAAAAAAAATTAACTTCTAAACTAAAAATGAGCATCACAATTAAAAAAATAGTACAATTAAGTTATAACTTATGACACAATTAAATTTTTTTATATCGTAATTAAGTTGCAATTTAATTGAAATTTGAAAATAATTATGAAGATTATCTTTATTCTAAACCTTTTCAAAATTGTTTAAAAAACAAAAAATAATAAGTAAAATAATAAAAAATAAAAATAATTGATATCTTTTTATTTAAATTTATCTAAAATCATATTATCATCATCTATTATGAATTTTTCATATAAATAATATTCCTTTTTAACTTCTATATATTCATTTTTATTTTCTGTTACATATTTTCTTTAATAATATCTACTTTAATTTTGATATCATAAATCATGTTTAATTAAGTTTTATATAACTATTTTAAATTATTTATAAATTATAATTAATTATAATTAAAGCCCTAAATAAATTATTTTAGATCAAATTAATTAAGTTACTTGAACTAAGAGGATAAGATCATGTTAAATAAAATTTTAATCTGATTTTAATTTTTATTTAATCTAACTAAATTCAATTGAATTGTTTAAGAAAATAATTGGCTATCATTTAAGAAGAAGAAGAATAAATTATTTTAATTAAATAATAATAAATTATTTTAAATAAATGATAAAATCATTATTTACAAATGATAAAACTATTATTTATAAATGATAAAAAAAAACTCTTTCCGTCAATCACCAAAACCAAAAAATGACTGAAAAAAAAAACGCTCGCAATAACAACTCTAAACCTAACCAAATTCGTTTTTCTTCTATGGAGAACGACCAACAACAATAACGCCTAGCTAAGAAACAACATATTGAACAACCAAAACAAACAGAAACTACAAACGCCTCTGGAAGCAATTCCAACAGCCCTATAGACATGGAGGTTGAAACTTCGCTCCCCAACACTTAAGACAAGAGAAAAGGCTCTGAAACTTCTGACAATAATACCAATCTCCCCCTTGACAAAGACCAAGCCTTTGACGCTTCTGAAAATGGCCTCAACAACAAATAAAACGAAAAAAATGAAATCCACTTAGAACGCGAAACTGAAGCTCCAATTTACTTCGCTTACTGCGCTGCAGATAAGTTTTACCCTGAAAAATCCAATAGAGAAAAATAAAACGAAGCATGTGATTTATTTGCACCACATTACTCATCTTTTATTGGTGCATCAATCCGTACTCACCCTGAGGACTCAACAAAGAAAATCGTTCGAATTGGCTTTACGTCACATGTTAAAGCAAATAATGCAATTACACTTAAATTCTCATGTTTGAAAAATAACACGTTTTTACCCTTCACAATCAAACCAATAGCTAAGTATATCCCTGAGTTATCGATCTGTCTTACAGAAATCCCAATCTCTACTACTGAATCAAACATTAGATCAACTTTTTCTTTTTGAAAAGATCTCCCATTGCGTCATGTCCACTAAAAACCTGTGGCAGCAAGCTACTCTTACATTTGAACAAGACACAGACATGACTACCTTAAACAAACTTAACAGCTATTTTATCCTTAAAGACTTAGTCAAAGTCTACCCATGTACTATGTCAGTCAAAGACGTTAGAAAGAAATCTGAATTTTCATTGAAACTGACTAATCTCCTACTTGACACAAATGGATGTCATCTAATCTCTATCAGTAATGCCATCGAAGCGATTGCCTGGGTCATTCCAAAATTACTTGCCAATTACAGAAATTTACAATACGCCATTTTCTATTTTAAAATCAAAGAATCTATGGAAGCAGCAAAAAATGGAGAAACGTACTTCCTTGATAGGAAATGATTAATCTGGACCGATCCCAATGCAAAACTCTGCTTCAATTGTCAAGTTCTAAAACACCAATTGCAGAATTGTCATAAAAATCGTTCAGCTCTACAAGACTGATAAACTCAACACTTATATCAGCACTACCAACCTGCACAGTTTCATAATTATAAAGCACCTGTCGTTATGCCCAGACCACCAACTCTTTCTAAAAAATAACAAAATACAGAAAAACTCAAACTAAGCTATCTACATAACAATACTACTGATAAACCTAAACCTGACAGTACTATTACTCTGCCTAATAATCAAACATCATTTCCTAAGACCAAATCATCAAATAATGTTCAAATCCTGCAACGTACTGCTCTAATCCGTCTTATTAACGATAAAGGAGAACAAACCCTTGATACTAGTATATATGCATCATATCGCTGGGCTGATGATACGTTAGACGAGTTTTGTATGCCGCATGTTACCCCAAACTAACCATTCCAACCTGCATTACTCGCTCAGATCTCCAACTAACTGTTAGCTATCTCTGAGCAACTCGCTAAAATGGAGTCAGAACTCCACTCGACTGCAAATCGAGTTACTACAGTTGAAAAAGTCCTTAATATCAACGTCCTACTCCCCCACCAAGCAGAGTTACTTAACAAATCCTTTAATGAAGATGGTATGGAAACTGAAAAACATACTTACGTAGCTGGTTCCTATACAAAAGACAACATTATCACTAAACAATCTGCTGAACTTAGTATCTTAAGAGAAGAAAACACTCTTCTTAAAACCAACCTCGAACATAATATGACCAAACTCAATAATGCAGAACGTGCTATTGCTAATATGCAATGAATCCTACAAACACAACTTCAAATCAATCCTGATGCTTTTACTGCTATTGAAGAAGTTGCTCCCCCTTCTAGCTATAAAAAAACAGTTGACGGTGTCTTTATCCCCCCTACCCCTAAAGATTTTTAATGATTGATAATTCACAGAATTTTAAACAAATTAGCCCTAGTGACCCGATATCAAAAAAAATAATAACAAATACTAACAATACCTATAATTTATTTTCGACTAATAATACCTTATCCTCTCAGCTCAACATTGCGACACACAATGTTCGCTCTTTCATTCAACTACAAAAATAACAATTTTTGCTCAATACTTACAATA